ATCTTCTGTATTATTATCTTTAACAGTTTCACTTTCATCAGAGCTTTCATCGTTATAATGATAATAGTATCATCCTCATCATCACTAGAATCATAATCAGATTTAGTTTGAGTTGGAATTAATCTCTGTACTGCAATTACATCATTAGCATCGATTTGTTCAACAAAGTCAGCTCTTTCTTGAGGTGATTCCAAATGAAATTCATCCGTTTGCTCAATTTCTTTACTTTCATTTGCCACAGCTTGTTGGTATGGCTCTTCATTTGGTGCTGAACACTTACTTTCTTGTCTTTCTTTCTCTAGAACATCAAATATATGTATTGGATATGACCTTTGCACAATTTTCCAGTTACCCCCATTTTTCATATCATTGATATAAAAAACTTGTTCTGCTTGAGGTGATAACACATAAGGATCATCCTTGTACCACCTTTGACTAACATTAACACTAAGTAACTTCCGATAATCTTTAACTCCATTCCTCTTATCACCAACATCCCACCAATCACATTTGAACAATATTGAAGTTCTATAATATCTATTAACACACCGTAGAAATCAATTTCTTTTGAATTGTATTCTCCTACAACCACAATGATACGAAAACCCATAATGATACGAAAACCCGTAGGAAATGAATTCCTAAAACCCCTAATCGAGTGGATTGGATCAAAGATCAAGATGAATCCCCCTCCATGGCACCCAAAGTTTATGGAAGTAAGAACACCAATAATCGAGTAAAGAACAAGATAAACGCCACAATGAGTTGATAAGTTTACCTTAATTCTTGAGTTGATAAGTTTACCTTAATTCTTGATGTAATTAGAGGAAAGCAATTTCTCACAATCACTCCAAGCAAGAACATGCAAAGCATGAACAAATTCTTTTTTTGATTCAAGTTGTCCAAGTGTTTACAATGGAAGCACTTATTTATACTAGAAAATGGAAGACTAGGAACTAGAATCAAGCCTACAATCAAGGCTAAAATCAAGCCTAAAATCAAGGCTAGAATCAAGGCTAAAATCATGCCTTAAATCAAGGCTAGAATCATGTCTTAAATCAAGGCTATAATCAAGGCTATAGTCAAGCCTTGAATCATGCCTTAAATCAAGGCTAAGATTATGCTAACCAATATGGCCCATATGGGCTTAATTAAATACAAAGCCCAAGCTAACTAATTAAAACAAGCCCAAGCTAACTAATTAAAACAAGCCTAACTTAAGTATTAGCTAATCTAGGGCTGCCCCAACTTTGAAATAGAAGCCCAACCAGCTTTATTAAGTCCACTCTAAATAACTTAAACAAAATAGGATAAATGGGCCACGGGCCCTACATGCCCCATACTTAAGCTTATAATGAAGAGCATCCTTCTAAATTTGCTTAAATATAAAACATGTATAATGCATCAGTGGGTAGCCTCTTTACACGCCTCAAGCACCATAATAAACTTTGGTGCTTCTTCAAGTTCAATCTCACATCTTGCATAGCTATGATCTTAAAGTTCCAATGTGACTTGGTCTTGAACACATAAGGACATGGCTGCCCCATATCGCTTGGCATGGCTCCATGTAATTGGCCCACTAGGAAGCACCAATGGATCATCCCTGTTGTTCTCCATGCTTCCTTGAGCTCCATAAACGAGTGGTGGTGGATCCGTATCATTCCCTCTTTCCTTAAAAAGATTTGTCCTCAAATCTGCGTCCATGTCAAAAGGAGACAAATCACTAACGTTAAGTCAAAAGGAGACAAATCACTAACGTTAAAGGTAGCGGAAACACCATACTCACCTGACAAGTCTATCTTGTAGGCGTTGTCATTGACGCGTTCAAAGACTTAGAATGGACCATCTCCACGTGCATCCAGCTTAGACTTCCATTGCTTGAGAAACCTCCCCTTCCGAAGGTGTACCCAAACCCAATCCCCAGGCGCAAACACCAGCTTCTTCCTTCCTTTGTTTGCCCTGCCAGCATACTGTCTGTTCCACTTTTCGATATTCGATTGAGCCTTCTCATGTAAAGACTTCACCAATTCAGTCTTTTTATCACCATCTAAACTAGCAGGCTCATATAAAAGTAAAGGAGCAAGATCCAAAATAGTTAGTGGGTTAAATCCATAAACAAGTTCAAATGGAGTAAAACAACCTGAAGTAGAATATATGCTACGATTATATGCAAATTCAATAAATGGCAAACAATCCTCCTAAGTTTTCAAATTTTTACCCATAATAGCACGTAATAAAGTTCCTAAAGTCCTATTCACAACTTCAGTTTGTCCATCTGTCTGTGGGTGACAAGTACTAGAATAAAGCAATTTAGTACCTAGCTTACCCCACAAAACCCTCCAAAAATGTGAAAGGAACTTAGCATCTCTATCAGAAACGATAGTCCTCGGTACCCCATGTAATCATACCACCACTCTAAAGAATAAGTCAGCAACATTAATGGCATCATCAACTTTATGACATGGAATAAAATGAGCCATTTTATTGAACCTATCAACCACCACAAATATGTTGTCTCTACCATGCCTAGTCCTAGGTAAACCAAGTACAACCCATGCTGAACCTATCAACCACCACAAATATGTTGTCTCTACCATGCCTAGTCCTAGGTAAACCAAGTACAAAATCCATAGATATATCAACCCAAGGTGAATTAGGAACTGGTAAAGGCATATACAAGCCATGAGGCATAGACTTAGACTTGGCCTGTTTACAAATAATGTATGAATCACAAACTTTTTCCACATCTTTACGCATATGAGGCTAATAAAAATGTTCATTCAACATGTAAAAAGTCTTATGTACCCCAAAATGTCTCATTAATCCCCCACAATGAGACTCAAGTACAAGCAAATCACGCATAGAGCATTTAGGCAGACAAAGTTTGCTGCCCCTAAACAAATATCCATCACGATAAAATTTATGAAATGCTCCATGTTCACATGCTAAATATACATTGCCAAAGTCAGAATCAGACACATACAAGTCCTTAACATACTCAAATCCTAGCAACTTAGAACTAAGAGTAGTAAGCAAAGCATATCTCCGTGACAATGCATCAACAACAATGTTATCTTTCCCATGCTTGTATTTAATAACATAAGGGAATTGTTCAATAAACTCTACCCATTTACCATGCCGTTTGTTCAGCTTACCTTGACCCTTCAAGTGCTTTAGGGCTTCGCGATCGGTATGGATGACAAACTCCTTAGGTAGTAAGTAGTGTTGCCATACGTTCAAAGTCCTCACCAAGGCATACAGCTCCATATCATAGGTCGAGTAATTGAGTTGTGCTCCGTTCAACTTCTCGCTAAAATAGGCAATTGGCTTTTTCTCTTGCATCAGCACTGCTCCAATTCCTACACCAAAAGCATCACACTCAATTTAAATGTATTCTCAAAATTAGGTAAAGAAAGTATAGGAGCAGATGTCAACTTCCCTTTAAGCGTGTCAAATGCTTTCTGTTGTTCTTCACCCCACTTGAACCCAACTTCCTTTTTAATTACCTCCATGAATGGTGCGACAATCGAAGAGAAATCTTGTACAAACCATCGCTCTCCAACCCATGGAAACTTCGCACTTCTGAAACTGATTTAGGAGTTGGCTATTCTTTAATAGCTTTCACTTTCTCCTCATCGACCTCGATACCCTGCGCACTCACAACAAATCCAAGAAACACAAGTCTATCTATATAAAATTTGCACTTTTAAGCTTAACATACAATTGGTCAGATCTCAAAGCTTGTAATACTAGCCTAACATGCTTAACATGATCATTAAGAGACTTGCTATAAACAAGTATATCATCAAAATATCATCAAAATATACAACTACAAATTTTCCTAAGAAAGCACGTAAAACATGGTTCATAAGCCTCATGAAAGTACTAGGCGCATTAGACAATCCAAAAGCCATCATTAACCATTCATACAAGCCATACTTGGTTTTGAAAGCTGTTTCTCACTCATCACCTGGTTGCTTTTGAATTTGATGATAACCGCTCATAAAATCAATCTTTGTAAAGTAAGTAGCCCCACACAACTCATCTAACATATCATCGAGTCTAGGGATAAGGTGTCTATACTTTACCGTGATTTTGTTGACCGCCCTGCTGTCAACGCACATTCGCCACGTTCCATCCTTCTTAGGTACTAAAAGTACTGGAACGGCACAAGGACTCATGCTCTCTCGCACCAATCCTTTCTCCATAAGTTCATCAACTTGCCTCTACAACTCCTTTGTCTCCATTGGTTTGCTTCTATAGGCTGGGCGATTTGGAATGGTGGAGCCGTGAATTAAGTCAATCTGATGTTCTATCCCTCTCAAAGGTGGCAATCCACTTGGCAACTCTTCTAGAAAAACATCAGCGAGCTCCCGTAACTTAGAAATAAACACAGAAGGTAAACCATCAAGGTTAGTGTCAGTGTTAGAAAACAAAATCTCCTTGAACCTAAGAAGCAGCACGGGCTGCCTTAAGGCTATGGCACACTTAACCTCTCTAGCTCTCGCCTAGCTCTCCGCATAAAATAGTGTGGTTTCTTTCTCTTCCCTCTCGTTTGTTTCACTCACCATTGGGCCATTAATCTTGTTTGGTATCTTCTTTGGCTCTTCTTCAACTTCACTTTCTAACACTTTCTTTTGTTCTCTAGAATTGAAGCCTCACTCCCATTTTCCCTCAAAGTTTGAACTTTTTCCTTCTCCCTCTCAAGCATCTCTTCTGATCGGCATACAACTTCTTGAGGAATATGGAAAAAAATTCACCTTTTTCTCCCTTATGAACTAAAGGGAGTATTGGTTGTAAACCCATCTCCTTATGAACTAAAGAGTATTGGTTGTAGAACCCATCATGTAGTGCCCTTCTATCATATTGCCATGGCCTTCCCAACAACAAATGGCCTGCCTACATAGGTACTACATCTCACAAAATCTCATCTTTGTACCATCCAATAGAAAATGGCAATAGTACCTGACGTGTCACCTTCACCTTCCCACAATCATTCAACCACTGTAGCTTGTAAGGCTTAGGATGTTTCATACATGCCAAGTTGAGCTTATTCACCATACTTACACAAGCTACATTAGTGCAACTACCCCCTATTAATAATAAGGATGCACACTTTCCCGTTAACTAAACATCTAGTGTGAAATATGTTCTCTCGCTGTTCAAGACTCTCTTCCTTAACATGCATGTTCAGAGCACGTCTAACAATTAGAGATTCTCCATGTTCAGCAAACAACAGATTATGTTCATCCACATCCAAAATATCATTATCATCATCATGCAAATGTGGCACATCATTAGAATCACTACATTCAGATTCAAAGCTAATATTCCCATCATCCTTAGAAATCATAACCCTCTTATTAGGACCTGGAGATGTAATATGCCTTTTCCCCAAACACTTAAAGCATTTAATCTCTCTAAAAGGGGTTATAGGGTTAGAAGTATCTTTGTTTCCCTTGAATGATGATTGGGCAACCTCTTTACCTCTTGAAGTTGATTCTGCCCTTTGGAAACTATTGTCTCTGAAATCTCTTCTTTCACCTCCTTTGGACCAATTGGATCCCAAAGTATTGTTGGAATACCTGTTGGTAAACTTCCCCTTTTTCTGCCTTTCTAACTTCATGGCCATATCTACCATCTCTTCTAGTGTATCATAGTGACACATCTCTAAAGCATCGGCAATCTCACTATTCAGACCTCTAAGGAACCTAGACATGGTAATTTCTTCAGCCTCCTCAATTTTAGCTCTAGCTATACACATCTCCATCTCCTTGTAGTAAACTTCTACACCTTTTCCTCCTTACACCAATCTTGCCAATTTGTTATGTAAGTCCCTAAAGTAATGAGCAGGGACAAATTTTTGGTGCATCAACTCCTTTATGGTCTCCCATTGTGGCATGGGTCGCATGCCTTTCTTTCTTCACTTTATTAACAACTGTTCCCACCAGAACATGGCATGCCCCTTGAACTCAACGGCTGCAAGGTGAGACTTATTCTCTTCAGAATAATTATGGCACTCAAAAATTTGCTCAACCTTTCTTTCCCATTCAAGGTACTCTTTAGCGTTGTTGTTACAATAAAACTCCGGAATCTTCATTTTGATTGATCCCAAGTTGCCATCAACTATACCAAATGTACCAACTTCAGGATTGTCGGCCTCCTCATCTTCAAGAGTTTGAAATCTAGTTGGTGGAGTAGTACCGGGACGAGCTCTTGTTGTATTAGAGCTTTGGGCGGCTTTAATCTCTTGCAACTCCTCTCTCATATCTTGGAGGAAACTGTTGTAGTTTCGAACTGCCCTTGAATTTATTCCATGAAGAGCTTCAATTGGGGATCTTTAATTAGATTTCCTTCCCCGCTAGTTTCTCCAGACTTGCCTGTACTCACGATTAGTACTTAAAGCAGAAATCACAAAAGAAATAAGGTTAAGGAAAAGCACTCTCTCACGTGTTTACACTCCTTACCACTCGTTGTAATTCCTCCAATTGTACTTCAAAATTCCAGGCCAACCAACCAATCTCAAAGTACATTTAAAACTCAATGAAATAAAATCTTAATAAAGAAAAACAAGCTCAACTCTAGAAAGAAGACTTAAAAATGAAAATGGATGGTAGCATAAGAGCAAAACAATGTACTACTTGATTAACAATTAGAGTGTAGTAAACAAGCAAATACACCCTAACAATATATAAGAAGGAAAGGAAGCACAAAACAAGGATAAGAAACTAGAATCAATAAAAAAAAATGAGTTCTGGATATAATAGATGAATTTCGTTCACCACAAAGCAGACTAAATATGGACCTATGTAATTCTACCCAAACAAAGCAAGCAAATAAAGAAAACTAATAATTTTTTTTTAAAGTCAAAGCGTAGCACGGGCGTGCTTGTATGTTTTGGTCCGAAAATGAGAGTCAGAGCCTAGCACGGGCATGCTTGTCCTTTATCCTCCCTTAACCCACAATTATAACCCACTTTAGGTAGTTATAGGCTTTAGCAGGGGACAAATGTATTAGGTGCTTCCAAACAGCCCCACAAAGGTGTTTAATAGCTTATAACTTCTCAATAATTACAACAATCAATTTTTTTTAACAGATTTGATTTGAAAGATCTAAAGCCACAATTCCAAATTTTTGTTTTTATCAAGAAGATTCAAAGATGAAAATTCAGATCTAAAATGAAATCAAAGACTAAGACAAACACCAAAGGAAATTTAAAAAAAACAAGAAAACTCAAGACCTAGAATTAACATAACAGAACTTACCTCAATCTTTGATTTGGCTCTAATACCAAATGATACGAACACCCGTAGGAAATGAATTCCTAGAAACCCTAATCGAGTGGATCGGATCAAAGATCAAGATGAATCCCCCTCAATGGCACCCAAAACTTAAAGAAGCAAGAACACCAATAATCGAGTAAAGAACAAGATAAACGCCACAATGAGTTGATAAGTTTACCTTAATTCTTGATGCAATTAGAGGAAAGCAATTGTAAAAGAAACCAGAATAAACGCACAAATGAGTTGATAAGTTAGCTTATTCCTTGATGCAATTAGAGAAAGCAATTTCCTCACAATCACGTCCAAGCAAGAACATGCCAAAGCCATGACACAAAATTCTGTTTTGATCAAGTTGTCAAGGTGGTTTACAATCGGAAAGCACTATTTATCCTAGAAATGGAAGACAAGGAACTCAGAATCAAGCCTAAAATCCAGTCTACACTCAGTAAAATCAAGCCTAGAATCATGCCTAAAATCAAGGCTAGAATCAAGGCTAAAATCATGCCTTAAATCAAGGCTAGAATCATGCCTTAAATCAAGGCTATAATCAAGGTTATAGTCAAGCCTAGAATCATGCCTTAAATCAAGGCTAAGGTTATGCTAACCAATATGGCCCATATGGGATTAATTTAGCCCATATGGGCTTAATTAAATACAAAGCCCAAGCTAACTAATTAAAACAAGCCCAACTTAAGTATTAGCTAATCTAGGGCTGCCCCAACTTTGGAATATAAGCCCAACCAGCCTTATTAAGTCCACTCTAAACAACTTAAACAGAATAGGATAAATGGGCCATAGGCCCTATATGCCCCATACTTAAGCTTATAATGAAAGAGCATCATTCTAAATTTGCTTAAGTATATTCTAAATTTGCTTAAGTATAAAACATGTATAATGCATCAATGGGCAGCCTCTTTACACGCCTCAAGCACCATAATAAACTTTGGTGCTTCTTCAAGTTCAATATCATAATATCACATCTTGCATAGCTATGATCTTGAAGCTCCAATGTGACTTGGTCTTGAACATATAAGGACATGGCTGCCCCAGATCGCTTGGCACGGCTCTGTGTAATTGGCCCACTAGAAAGCACCAAAGGATCATCCCTGTTGTTCTCCATGCCTCCTTGAGCTCCATAGACGAGTGGTGGTGGATCCATATCATTCCCCCTTTCCTTAAAAAGATATGTCCTCAAATCTGCATCCATGTCAAAAGGAGACAAATTACTAACGTTAAAGGTAGCGGAAACACCATACTCCCCTGGCAAGATACTCCCCTGGCAAGTCTATCTTGTAGGCGTTGTCATTGACGCGTTCCAAGACTTGGAATGGACCATCTCCACGTGCATCCAGCTTAGACTTTCGTTGGTTGAGAAACCTCTCCTTCTGAAGGTGTACCCAAACCCAATCCCCAGGCACAAACACCAGCTTCTTCCAATTGGTCTGAATTTTCATGGCTGCCCCATATCGCTTGCCAAATGATACGGATCCACCACCACTCGTCTATGGAGCTCAAGGAAGCATGGAGAACAACAGAGATGATCCATTGGTGCTTCCTAGTGGGCCAATTACACGAAGCTGTGCCAAGCGATATGGGGCAGCCATGTCCTTATATGTTCAAAGCCATGTCCTTATATGTTCAAGACCAAGTCACATTGGAGCTTCAAGATCATAGCTATGCAAGATGTGAGATTGAACTTGAAGAAGCACCAAAGTTTACTATGGTGCTTGAGGCATGTAAAGAGGCTGCCCATTGATGCATTATACATGTTTTATACTTAAGCAAATTTAGAAGGATGCTCTTTCATTATAAGCTTAAGTATGGGGCATGTAGGGCCTGTGGCCCATTTATCCTATTTTGTTTAACTTGTTTAGAGTGGACTTAATAAGGCTGGTTGGGCTTATATTCCAAAGTTGGGCCAGTCCTAGATTAGCTAATGTTTAAGTTGGGCTTGTTTTAATTAGTTAGCTTGGGCTTTGTATTTAATTAAGCCCATATGTTAATTAGTTAGCTTGGGCTTTGTATTTAATTAAGCCCATATGGGCCATATTGATTAGCATAATCTTAGCCTTGATTTAAGGCATGATTCTAGGCTTGACTTTAGCGTTGATTATAGCCTTGATTTAAGGCATCATTCTAGCCTTGATTTAAGGCATGATTTTAGCCTTGATTTTAGGCATGATTCTAAGCTTGATTTTAGTCTTGATTGTTGTCTTGATTTTAGGATTGATTCTAGTTCCTAGTCTTCCATTTTCTAGTATAAATAGGTGCTTCCATTGTAAACACTCAGACAACTTGAATCAAAAACAAAATTTGTTCATGCTCTGTATGTTTTTGCTTGGAGTGATTGTGAGAAATTGTTTTCCTCTAATTGAATCAAGAATTAAGGTAAACTTATCAACTCATTGTGGCGTTTATCTTGTTCTTTACTCGATTATTGGTGTTTTTGCGTTCTTAAGTTTTGGGTGCCATAGAGGGGGATTCATCTTGATCTTTGATCCGATCCACTCAATTAGGGGTTCTAGGAATTCATTTCCTACGGGTTTTCGTATCATTTGGTATCAGAGCCAAATTAAAGATTGAGGTAAGTTCTGTTATCTTAGTTCTAGGGCTTGAGTTTTCTTGTTTTTTTGAAGTTTCCTTTGGTGTTTGTCTTAGTCTTTGATTTCATTTTAGATCTGAATTTTCATCTTTGAATCTTCTTGATAAAAAAAAAAAAAATTGGAATTGTGGCTTTAGATCTTTCAAATCAGATCTGTTAAAAAAAATTGATTGTTGCAATTATTAAGAAGTTATAAGCTATTAAACACCTTTGTGGGGCTGTTTGGAAGTCACCTAATACATTTGTCCCTTGCTAAAGCCTATACCTTCCTAAAGTGGGTTATAATTGTGGGTTAAGGGAGGATAAAGGACAAGCACGCCCGTGCTAGGTTCTGACTCTCATTTTCGGACCAAACCATAGAAGCATGGTCGTGCTAGGCTCTGACCTTTAAAAAAAATTTTTTTTATTAGTTTTCTTTGTTTGCTTACTTTGTTTGGGTAGAATTACATAGGTCCATTTTTAGTCTGCTTTTTGGTGAACTAAATTCATCTATTATATCCAGAACTCATTTTTTTTTATTGATTCCAGTTTCTTATCCTTGTTTTGTGCTTCATTGGCTTTTTATATATTGTTAGAGTGTATTTGCTTGTTTACTACACTCTAATTGTTAATCAAGAAGTACATTGTTTTGTTCTTGTGCTACCATCCATTTTCGTTTTTAAGTCTTCTTTCTAGAATTGAGCTTGTTTTTCTTTGTTAAGATTTTATTTCATTGAGTTTTAAACGTACTTTGAGATTGGTTGGTTGGCCTGAAATTCTGAAGTACAATTGAAGGAATTGCAAGGAGTGGTAAAGAGCGGTAAGGAGTATAAACACGTGAGAGAGTACTTTTCCTTAACCTTATTTCTTTTGTGATTTCTGTTTTAAGTACTAATCATAAGTATAGGCAAGTCTGGAGAAACTAGCGGGGAAGGAAATCTAATTAAAGATCCCCAATTGAAGCTCTTTATGGAATCAATTCAAGGGCAATTTCGAAACTACAACAGTTTCCTCCAAGATATGAGAGACGAGTTGCAGGAGATTAAAGTCGCCCAAATCTCTAATACAATAAGAGCTCGTCCCGATACTACTCCACTAACTAGATTTCAAACTCTTGAAGATGAGGAGGCCGATAATCCTGAAGTTGGTACAGTTGATGGCAACTTGGGATTAATCAAAATGAAGATTCTGGAGTTTTATGGTAACAACAACGCTGAAGAGTACCTTGAATGGGAAAGAAAGGTTGAGCAAATTTTTGAGTGCCATAATTATTCTGAAGAGAAGAAGTCTCACCTT